GAGATCACACCACTGCACTCCAGCCTGGGCAACAGAGAGATACTTGGTCTCCAAAAAAAAAAAAAAAAGGCAGGCTTTGTGGTGCACACCTCTAGTCCCAACTACTCAGGAGGCTAAGGCAGGAAAATTGCTTGAACTTGGGAGGCAGAGGTTGCACCACTGTACTTCAGCCTGGGCAACAGAGTGAGACTCCATCTCAAACTAAAAAAAAAAAAGAAAAGAAAAGAAAAGAAAAAGAAAATCCTCCAATGGAAGATTTCCACCTCCAGTTAGAATGTGGAAGATCACAAAAGATCATCACTTTTGCTGTAACAATGAGAAGACACTAAGTAAATTATTTTTCTTACAAGATACTGAAAACATTTGGACATAAATAAGTCTAAATGAAGTGAATTACAGAAGGGGACTAGCCTTCCCTAGGTGACCGGAGATAGCTACTGCTTTCAACCCTAAGCAGCATTTGCACTGCGTGAACATAGAGTAAGGAGAGAAAAAAGCAACTATATAGGCAAAGGATCTGCAAAACCACGGAAAAACCAACTTTTAATGCCCGAGCATGGGCAGAATCTCGAGGATCCCAAATAGAAAACTAGTTCTCACTGCTGTCCAATTACCACCCACTCCAGAGGACTTCTGCAGAATAAACAGCGTACTGCAGAAAGGCTGGCCTGGAAATAAGAGAACATGTAGTCTACCAATGCTTAGGTCCTAAGGTCCTGCCAGGGACAGAAGACCAATCACTCCTCCCTTGACACAGCTGAAACGTGAGGTGAGCTGAAATTTACAGAAATAGGAAGCCACTTGAAATCACCTCGACTAGAAGGACAGAGAAACAAACAAACAAAAACAAACCGTGTCAGAGATCTCTGGGACAACATGAAATGATCTAACATACTAGTAACTGCCCTTCCAAAAAGACAAGAGAAACAAAGTGAAGAAATAGTTGAAAAGAAAATGAACAAAAATCTTCAAAAGCAAAAGATTTTATCCCACAGATCCAAGCTCAGTAAGCAACAATGAGGGACAAACAGAAGGGAAAAAAAAAAAGTCATTATCTAGGCACATCAAGGTCAGGCTGCTGAAAATGAAAGACAAAGCGAAAAATCCTGAAAGCAGCAGAGGGAAAAACAGACATTACACTGGAGGAACAACAAAAAGAACAACAGACTGACTAGTGACTCACTGGAAAGTCAGAAGACAATATACTTTATACTGGAAAGTCAGAAGACAATATACTTTACCCCACATCACGAAGTGTTGAAAGAAAAACTCCCAATCTAATGTTCTATATCTATCAAAAGAAGCCTTTAAACTTGAAGACATTTTCGGACAGCTGAGATCATTTAGACTGCATAAAAATACTCCTCAGCTCAGAAATAAGACAAAGATATCGGTTCTTGCCACTTCTACTTACTTGTACTAGAGATTCCATCAGGATGATTAGGCAAGAAAAAGAAATAAAAGGCATCCAGATTGAAGAGGAAAAAGCAAAGCTACCTCTATTCACAGGTAACATGATCTTGTATATGGAAAATACTAAAGAATTCACTAAAGAACTATTAGAACTAATCAGTTTACCAAGATTCCAGGATCCAAGACACACACACACACGAATAGTTTTTCTACAAACTAGCAATGAATATCAAAAGTGAAATGAGAAAATAATTCCATTTTACAATAGCATCAACAAGAATAAAATAGGAATAAATTTAACAAAAGAAGTTCAAGACTTATACACAGAAAACTATAAAACATTGTTGAAACAAAGACCAAAATAAATAGAAAAATATCCCACGTTTATGGGAAAAAAAATTTCATATTGGTAAAACAGCAATAATCCCTAAAGTGATCTACAAATTCAATGCAATATCTACCAAAATCCTATCTGTGACTTTTTTTTTTTTTAAAGCGACAAACAAACTGACCCTAAAATTCACATGAAAATGCAAGGGATTCAACAAAAAAACCAAAGCAGTCTTGAAAATTAGAAACAAAGTTATCAGAGGACTCACACTCCCAGGTTTCAGCTTATTACAAAGCTACACACTTATTACAAAGTGTGTCTATTGGTTTGGTTGGGTTTTGAGACAAGGTCCTACTCTGTTGCCCAGGCTAGAGTGCAATGGTGCTGTCATACGTCACTGCAACCTCAAATTCCTGGAAACAAGTGATCCTCCCACTTTAGCCTCTCGAGTAGCTGGGACTACAGACACATACCACCGCACCACTCAGCTATTATTTTTATTTTTTTGTAGAGACAGGTTCTCTTTAGTAGAGACGGGGTTTCACCATGTTGGCCAGACTGGTCTCAAACTCCTGTGCTCAAGCTATCCTCCTGCCTTGGCCTCCCAAAGTGCTGAGATTATAAGCATGATCCACCGTGCCCAGTCAGCAGTGTGATACTGACATAAGACTAGATACACAGATCAACTAATGGAATTGCAAGTCCAGAAACAAATGCCCACATTTATGTCAACTGATTCAATTGCCAAGGTGCCAAGACAATTCAACAGAGGAAAAAATGGTCTTTTCAACACAAAAAAACTGTGTTCACGCAAAGACTTGTACACAAATGTTCA